GATTAGAGGTGGAGGGGGGGTATTGTAATTATATAATCGATTAGTAATCAGTCATTGGTTATGATTAGTAATGAGTTGTAGATTAGTAATTCTTTAAATCAAAATGTAATGTGTATTATTTAATAATACGCTTCCAGGCCGCACTAAGCCTGTAGCTGTCAGAGCGATTAAAGTTATTCTTGTTCCTCTCAATTTCAATGGATTCTCTAATTAGTCTTTGCCAGTAATAATTAGTTTTACACACCACTGCAACATTGTCAAAATCAATTGACTGTCCTTGTTGACAAGCATGTTCTGCCACTGCCGACAGTTGTGTTTGAGATAATTTAATATTTCTCTGATGTTCTTTTAGTCTTACGCTGTGAATTTTGTGTACTGTACCAAATCGTACTGTAATGTTTTGCTTTTGCAAAACACGGGCTAATTTGTCAGTTACTCCTGAGATATATGGAATTTTTATTGTTTTAACAATCTGGTCGCTTTCAGCAGTATTGCTTTGCGATCGTGATTTGGCATTCAGTGCTCTGTTAATTTGAGCATTATTGTAGCCATTCTGTCGTAGTGCATCTTTAACGTGTTTAATCTCTCTCACTAGACTCTCACCATCTGACACTGTTTTAGCCCGATGTATGAGCGTCTTGATAAGAGAGGATTTCTGAGCTGGATGATGATGTGATTCTGCATTCAAATAGGCATCAGTGTGCATTTGCTTTCTGTAAACGCTGTGTGTTATTTTACCGTTTAGGCCACGTCCAAGCAAAATACAGTAAGATTTGGTACAGTACACAAAATTCAAAAACTAGTATCTTGCACTAAAGACGCATTACCTAAATTATCAACAGAAGGTGTATATCGGATTAATTGTTTATGTGGCAGCTGCTACATTGGGCAGACGGGACGTAACATCAGCGTAAGGCTAAAAGAACATCAGAGAAATATTAAATTATCTCAAACACAACTGTCGGCAGTGGCAGAACATGCTTGTCAACAAGGACACTCAATTGATTTTGACAATGTTGCAGTGGTGTGTAAAACTAATTATTACTGGCAAAGACTAATTAGAGAATCCATTGAAATTGAGAGGGACAAGAATAACTTTAATCGCTCTGACAGCTACAGGCTTAGTGCGGCCTGGAAGTGTATTATTAAATAATACACATTACATTTTGATTTAAAGAATTACTAATCTACAACTCATTACTAATCATAACCAATGACTGATTACTAATCGATTATATAATTACAATACCCCCCCCCTCCGCCTCTAATCACTGCACCTGATATGAGTTAAGTGATGACGTCACCCTGCTGCTCTATTTAAAACCGGGAGCAAGCGAGGGCTTTACCATTCTGGCGAATTGCCCGATGATGCTGGATGTATTTACCAGCGAAACGTCGTACTCAAACTGTAAATGTGGATTCACTCTTCAACACACCGGTGGGCTAAAGTAGTGAATTATTTGTCTTTTGTCAACGTGACACTTTTTTTTGCTGATTGGCCGTGTCAGGTGGTGGAGGGTTACGACACATTTATAAATAAACGCGATCTAACCCAAAAACCTTTATTATGAACAACTGAACATATTAGTCAATCACGCTGTGTGTGGCCTTAAAAGGTTAAACAAATATATAAAAGAGGTGACGTTTTGGGCAATGGCCCTTACTTTATAGCACATAGCTAGAGAGGCCAGAGAGAAGGAGTGGATAGTAAGAGTTGGAGACTGCACTTTAGAGAATTAGAAACAAAAATTCAGAATCAGAATATTTATTTATGATGGAGAAATCCGATGGGGCCTGATGAGAATTTCATTTCAAAGAGAGTGTTTTCTGATGGCACCAGTTTCTAAATTAGTATACCGTACGACAATGTTACACTCTGGAGTAGCTATTGAGGAACGGACACACCCATCCGACAAATCAGAGGCATTGCCAAAAAAACTGCGTCGATAAAAAAATAACTTGCTACGCAGAAGTGGCAGCTCCAAACAAAACAGCACGGAGTTTAATAATTCACGTGGCGCTGCGGTCGGGGGGAGGGACCACGAGCAACAGGGAAGGACGCGTGGCCCCCCGTGGTGCGTGCCAGCATACGAGTTATCTTGCGACTCTGCCCGTGCCCCATCAGTGTCGAATTGCTCCACGTGCGTCTGCCTGGTGTATTGGGATTTTTCGACCTCACTGGCCAGAATTTTGGCAAGGACATTCCACCACCATCCATCACTTTTCACCCAAGCAACGGGAGAGCACAGAATAAGATATTTCTTGAGCTATCGCTCAACAACAAACCATCACATTACAAATTAACGACTCACAATTGAACTGACACAACAATCAGTTCAATTGACACAATGCGCCTGTTTCACATGTTCGTCCATCCACGTGAAAAAGTAATTTTACACATCCCATCGGCCACACTGCCTTCTGTCAGTGCGTCATTTCAGCAGCATCGGTTCAACACAAACTCTGGGGTCCTCTTTCGAAATTCAGTGTCTCACCAGCAGAGTCAGGCTTGCTTGAATCTAAGAGACTGCCAGATTAGTGGCTCAACTCGATCTTCACTAATCACACACGACGACGACGATGCTGCTGATGATGATGATATCGAGGCAGCGTATAATCTTATTGGGGCCTGAACTCTGGGCCTCACTGCTTGGAGATTGGACAAATCTACCAACTGCGCTATTACACAACGAATACCTTGAACGCTAATGTCATCATAAAGACACTCCTGTTGATAACACCTCCTACACAAGACATGCGCTAAGACCAGACACGCTTGAAATATTGCATTGCTGCTACGCGGCGAACTGTGTGACCAGTAGTGGAGATGTCCCCAGAATACGGCGGTATCTTCCATACCGGCAATTCTCAGAGCGCCAAACAGTTGTGTGTGTGAGAGAGAGAGGGCGTTATTCATGGTGGGAGGGGTGGTGTGCGAGAGTGTGTGTATGTCTGTGTGTCTATGTGCGGAGCGGTAGTGTAAAGCGGTTAGCGCACTGCGCCTAGGAACGCCGAGTTCCATTCGAGGGTTTTTGACGATTATCAGAACTGGTTCTGGGCCTCCCCCTAGGTCGACTCAGCCTCGAATTAGTGCCTGGTTCGGTGTGTAAGTATCGCTACTGGGGAGACAAAGGCGTCCGGGTTTGGCGTTGGCCACCCACCCCTCGTGTGCAGGTGCCGGCCTTCATAAGTGCTCGCTAACAGCACTTGCGGCAACAGTCTGTTAAGACTACACGGGGGATTTTTGTCTTTGTTTCTGTGTGGGGAGCGGTAGTGTGAGTAGTTAGCGCGCTGTGGAGTTTTTGACGATTATCTGAACCGGTCCTGGACCTCCCCATAGGTCGACCACAGCCCCAAACGAGTACCTGGTGCGGTGTGTAAACATCGCCACTGGGGATACAAAGGCGGCCGGGTGTAGTGTTGGCCACACCCACCGCCTTTCCGGCCTCAATATCTGCTCGAGCACTTTCCCCCAACAGCTTGCTCAAGGCTATACGGGGAGGGATCTTTGTCTGTAATGCGTGAGTGGCAGTGGGCACGGGCTGGAAGGGTGGACAAGGTTTCACACCGCTGAGCCTCTTTGCTTTGACGTCTTCTGCCTGCTCGAATATTGACCCCGCCGTGGGGATGGCAATATCCGATGGGGTTTGAAACACCAACGCAATGTCCACCACGACAAGAATTGCCACCAATCGTCGTTGTTGCGGGTGGGATGACACGTCTCGTACGGGGTGGGGAGGTGGGGGGAGGGGTAATTGAAATGATCCGCGCCCGCAGGGCCACCGTAAAGTTTGTAACGAAAATAAACTCGCTCGAGAAACTTCCCCCCACCCACCCACCACCACCACCACCACCCACCACCACCCCCAGCACCGCGGGGCTGTCCAGGCTAAGTTTAGCTTCGGCCACAGCACACCGACACACAAAGGCAAAGATCCCCCGTGTGGCCTCCAACGGGCTGCCGTGGGGCAAGTGCTGTTAGCGTAGCAGCACCTTATGAACGGATAGCCACACGCCCGAAAGCCTTTGTCTCCCCAGTGGCGATGTTTGCACACCGCACCAGGTACTCTTTTGAGGCTGAGTCGACCTCGGGGAGGCCCAAGACCGGTTAAGATAATCGTCGCTGGTATTGGCCGTGAGCTGGAATCGATCTCAGATGGTCGGGTTCACAGCGCAGCGCACTAACCGCTACACTACCGCTCCCCACGTGAATGCATTTGTATGACATGCGCATGATGGATAAAATGCATGACACAAACACACGCGCATATGCACCCACATCATTCATGATTAACATATGTGCGGTACATGAACACACACATATGTATAAATTATATGGGCATGGCACACGTATGCATGACAAACATACGTGCGTGACATACATGGCATATACACACGTACGACACACGTATGTTCATATCACACAGACACACACCCGTGTATAACAAATTATTCATGTGCATGATACGTGACGCACACGTGTATTAGAGTCAATGCACACATGCTTGTGACGCACATGACAAATATACGTGAATTACAAGCACATGAAACATACAACCTGCGTGACCTGTTATTACACACGTGTAAAAAATGTATTACACACACACACGACGAAACGTATGAATGATATGACATACACGTTTATGTTGCACACAAACGCGAACTACATGCATGGCACAAACACGCGCATCACGTGCACACGTCTGGCGCACACATGACGCACGGAGTGACACGCAACATGCATGACGCACCCACATCGACGCATGACACAAACGCACGCCAAAACGCGCACGCACGGCTCACGACACGCGCATGGCACTAACACACTTGACACGTACACTCGCGCGACATGACACGAACACACATGACGCACGCGTGATACACACACAAACGCATGCCCCGCAAGCACACGCGCGTGCTACGCAGGTGCCATCGTCACGCGAGTAAGACGATCGATCGATCCTTGCTTGGCGTTTGGCTTGACCGTTCCGTGAACTCACCACGGCGGAACCCGCCAGGGCAGCTGTGAACACGCGAATGACCATCGTTGTACTGCTCCTCCTCTCTCTCTCCCTTCCTTCTCTCCTCGTCCGCACCTCCTGGCCCGGCCACCGTCTCTCTATCTCCCTCTCTCTTTTTTTCCACCCCTCTCTCTCGCTCGCTCACTCGCCGGTGTTCGAGAGACGGCTCAGCTGCTGCTGCTGCTGTTGCCTGCTTCTCTCTCTCGGGGTGGCAGTTGTCCCCAGCGTTGTCAGTGTCTCTCACTGTGCGTGTCTGTGTGTCGTGGGTAGATGTGTGGGGGGCTGGCGAGGTTGACGGGCGGGCGGGAGAGGAGGGGTTGGTGCTGCTGCTGGTGCTTGTCCCACAGAAGGCTAAATAAAGGACCTGCACTGAATCGATTCCGGCAGCGACTGGAAGAGGGGTGATTAGATTCCGTCTGCCGCAGCAGTTTATTTTAGAAAGTTCAGCGACAATTGGACGTTGGTGGTTCTAGATTTGAAGCTTTCGTGACTGGAAGGATCCATACTCTTTGGTTCTATTCGGTAAAGTCACGTAGGTAAAAAAATAAAACAACAAAAAATCACGACGTTTCGGCCGCAACACAAGTGGCCTTCATCAGGTGAAGGGACCGTACTGTCCAGAGGACAGCGTTGGAGTGAAGACAGCCAAGCCCAGGTCGCGTCCTTTAAGCTGTGTGGGAGGAAACAAAAAAACGCCTTGACAAAGGAATTAGCATAAAATGATGTAGAGGACCGGCACGGGGGGGGGGGGAGTTTACAAATGTTGGTGTGAAGGGAAATAAGCTGCTGTGAAAGTTTGGGATACACTACTTGAATAAATATACTGTACCATTGAAAATTAGTTTCGCAAACTTTCACAGCAGCTTATTTCCCTTCACACCAACATATGTAAACTCCCCCCCCCCCCCCCCTGTGCCGGTCCTCTACATCATTGTTATGCTAATTCCTTTGTCAAGGCGTTTTTTTGTTTCCTCCCACACAGCTTAAAGGACGCAACCTGGGCTGGCTGTCTTCACTCCAACGCTGTCCTCTGGACAGTACGGTCCCTTCACCTGATGAAGGCCACTTGTGTTGTGGCCGAAACGTCGTGATTTTTTGGTGTTTTATTTTTTACCTACGTGACTTTACCCAATAGAACTAAAGAGTATTGGTGGTTCTGTGTTGAGAGATACAGGAGTTTAATATCGCGCGTGTGTGCGTGTTATATGTTTACCTGGTGCGATGTGTAAACATCGCCACTGGGGAGACAAAGGCGGCCGGGCGTGGTACTGGCCGCCCACCGCTTCGTGTGCCGTGTCGGCTATCATAGGTGCTGCTCGCTAACAGCACTTGCCCCAACAGTCTGTTAAGAGGCTAAACGGGGGTCACGTGGAAAGAGACCCTCATTAAAGATGCCGCATGGCCCACAGCATCGTTGGTGTACGTCATTAACTTAAAGGACCATAAACTTATAGAGTGTACGGTTTATTGACTTAAATCTGTAAATAATGAGAGAAAAATTAGTAAGTCCCCCCCCCCCCCCCCCCCCGCAGCGGGACATTATTTTTCTTATATGATGGGATTCGTTTCGTCATTTACAGAGTTGAGCATTGACGGCTTTCACGGGCCCCGTAGTGTGGATGTGGGAACTACAGACAATTCCCAGAGGCAAAGTTTGCAACAGCGAGCCCTGGTGACTATACCGTGCTGATGAGTCCTAAGTACAACAACACCATTCCAAAGTTGTCTATTGCTGCTGCTGCTGCTGCTGCAGTCAGTCGGTCACATTCTCCAGAATGTGTTTGTGCTGGTAACCTATAGAGGGTGTCCATGAAGTCCCTATCTATATATATACCATTAGTTCACTAAAATATGGACTTTATAGACACCCTGTACAAGAGGACCACAATACACTTACATTTTGATTTAAAGCTTTCGTGACTGCAGTCATTCATATTCTTAGCTCTTTCGGTAAAGTCACGTTGCAGGGAAACAATAAAATAATAAAATATGTATATAAAACAATAAAAATTCTCACGACGTTTCGACCATAACACAAACGGTCGTCATCAGGTGTGTCGGTTTGCATTAATTTATAATTTTTATTGTTTTATATATATTTTATTATTTTATTGTTTCCCTTCAACGTGACTTTACCGAAAGAGCTAAGAATATACACAATACACGTTCAGGAATTGCTGGGTGCTTGCACAGATGGCTGTGTGCTTTACACATTTTGGTTGTCTCATTTGAAACCTGAAGTCCATCGGTAATACCGAGACTCATCGTAACCAGGGGGCAGCGGAGGAGGACATGCATTCTTCAGACCATAACTTCCAGGGCTGCAGACGTCAGCTCGGAACACAACCAACAACGGAGTTGTTACAGAAGAGCGAAGCGAGGGCGAGTAAGCAAAGCAGAGGACACGTGGCTGGCAACTTCGCAGAAAGAGCTAAAGATCAGAGATGGAGCAACAATTGTAGGTGAAAATCGGAGTCGTAATTGCAGCAATCCCCGACACAAGACGGGCAGGCAGGTACAATTTGGGAAGGCTTGCGGTAGTTGCAGTTGAGGCAAAAGGAGAATTTCGAGGTCCCGAATTAAGGAAAAGGGGGTAGAATTGGATAAGTGTTTAAACTGAAGGGGTCACAGAGAGGGCCGGGGAAGCGAAGCTGACGCTGCGTGGCGATGGCACGGGGCAAAGAGCGGGGGCAGGATGCAGCGAGACGGAGTTGAAGGTGCTCGCAGCAAGGTGAGCACAGAGGATCGACCGACTGAATGACAGAAACAAAGCGAGGAGACGGCAAATGTAAATAGTAAGAGCGACATAGACCACAAGACTACATCAGTGTCCATGCCATATTTAACACACACACACACGCAAAAAAAATTTGTGTACAAATTTTGTCGTGCAAACAGTAAGAGGGACATAGACCACCATACTACATCAGTGTCCATGCCATATTTAACGTACACACACATAAAAAAAATATGTTCGTGTAATATCTTCACTTTTATTAGGGTCACTTTTCTTACACAACCGTTAGAAATTATTCATTTCAATCAACTCGAGGAAAAATTGCCACTCATTAAAAGTGGGCATATGGATCACACGCACTTTTGGGAACGAGTGGCAAAATTGCGAGGGTCTGTCGCATTAAACCGGCCACTCGGGGCCGAGGACACATGGTGGCTTACTTTGTTGCGGAGTAAAAATAACTTTGTTTTAATGTTAAGACGGGCACCAGAAGACACGCGTGGCTCGTCGTACAATGTGGTTATGGACATTATAACTAATACCGTACGGGGCTAATGTCATGATAATTTTTTTTTAAAATCCCATATGTTCAGTCAGGCAAGGGAACCCAACCCTATGTTTCCCATGTTTTATGTCTGTTTTATCTCACCAGGTAAGGCCCACTGAGCTACAGTAAATCATCGATTCATTTATCTGGCGGGTTTCAGGGGGGAGGGGTCGCCGGATTTTCAAAAACGCCGGAAAATAATCACTAATCATGATTTGTGATTATTATTGCTCATTTTTGCACATTCTTGCATGACATTACGTTTTTAGGCGTCGTTATGTTTTTTGTGCGTGTTTTAAACGTGTGTTTACTATGTGAAATTGACCTAAATAAACATGCAAATAGACTAAATTTAACTTCGTACTTTTTAAAGTTACTGTATTTACTGTGCACCGAACTTACCGCTCCAATCTCGTAGACTCTGCATCACGTGGTGATGTGTATACGTGCAGTATTTTCATTAAGTTGTATGTAGTGTATAAGGTACTGGATATTAATATTCGACAGTGACATCAAGCGAAGCTACTTGTGTTTGTCACGCTACGTGGTGACGATTGCCGGACTGGTACAGCCTTTGGAGCGATTCTGCCGGTTTCGCCGGATTGGCCTGGAACCGCCTGCTAATCGATGATAAACCGTATAGCGTATATCTTTTTCAGAAGCGACCTGGCCACAAATGATAGCTCAGCAGAGTGGTTTAATGTATCTCTCTGGCCCTCCATGAACTTTTCTTTCGTTTAGTTTGTTGTTCTTCCCCCGCACCTCCGTTCAGCACGGTTGGCTACGTACGGTGCCAAAGACGTTCAACTTACCTCCGTACATACACAGGAATGCGGACACCAAAGATCGTGATAAACTAGTTGACAAGATTGTTTAATAGTTCGCCTGTCTTCTCATTTGAGGACGACGGAAGACGACAGAGTGTTTGCATACAGCAAGCAAAGCGTGACTAGTCTCACACTACGGAGCGTTTGTAACATAAAGGCTCGAACGTAAAAACATCAATGGGTGCACAAGAGTTCCCGTGCCATGCGTGGCTACGTCGTTCCATAAGCGTTGCCGTGTAAACACAATTTAAAGATTTGCTTGTGATACCACAACCAACTATATATATTTAATTTTACGAAGTAAGGCCCACAGGTATATCTTAGCTCTTGGTCAGAAGCGACCTGGCCACAAATGATAGCTCAACGCAGATAGCTAATCACGTCGAAATGTACAGCAGCAGCAGCCACAAACTCTAAACGCGCGTTTCTGAATGTGGAGGGGGGGGGGGGAAACCAGAGGATCCGGAGAAACATCTACACGACCACAGGGAGAGAGAGAGAGAGAAAGACACGCAAACTCCAAATAATACAACAGGCGTCAGGGATCGGGATCGAACCCACGATCTCGCGTGTACCAGGCGAGAGTTCACATCTCCTAGCCACACAACCTTGAAGCCTGTATTTTAATCTGCTTGTGCGTGGCAATCACCCATCCAAGTATTATCCAGGCTCAGCCCTGCTTACCTGCTGAGATCTGATGACGTGCTATAGAATAATAATAGATTGGTAATCACGAAATTGGGCCCCGGTGTGTGTCATTTGGCACTCCACATTTAGAGTTCCCACAGACTCTGCAGCAGTGAGCATTTGTGACTATCGTGTACTGATGAATTCGAGGGAGTTTAACATCTCCTAGCCACCGTGGTGCCCACAAACATTTAGCTGCTCCCCTCCTCAATGCATTCGTAACGACAACAAAAACACATTCATATTTGTTGGTTCTTTCGGTAAAGTCACATAGAAGGGAGACAATAAAATAATACAAATATAAAACAATAACATTCTCACAACGTTTCGTGGTGTGGTGATGATGATTGCTTGTGTTGCAGTCGAAACGTCGTGAGAATTGTATTGTTTTATATTTCTATTATTTTATTGTTTCCCTTCTACGTGGCGACTTTACCGGAAGAACCAAGAATATGAATCCCTGCAGTCATGAAAGCTTTAAATCGAGAATTTAATTGTTTTATTTTTTATTATTTTATTATTTCCCTTCTACGTGACTTTACAGAAAGAACCAAGAATATGAATCCATTGGAGAAGCTGTCCAGCAGAACGTTGGCTATTGAATTCCTTTTCTTCTCAGCCTTCCTGCCTTCGCTCTCAATCCTTCTCAGCCTTCCTGCCTTCGCTCTAAATCCTTCTCAGCCTTCCTGCCTACGCTTCCAGTCCTTCTCAGCCTTCCTGCCTTCGCTCTCAATCCTTCTCAGCCTTCCTGCCTTCGCTCTCAATGCTTCTCATCCTTCCTGTCTACGCTTCCAGTCCTTCTCAGCCTTCCTGCCTATGCTTCCAGTCCTTCTCAGCCTTCCTGCCTTCGCTCTCAGTCCTTCTCAGCCTTCCTGCCTATGCTTCCAGTCCTTCTCAGCCTTCCTGCCTTCGCTCTCAGTCCTTCTCAGCCTTCCTGCCTTCGCTTCCAGTCCTTCTCAGCCTTCCTGGCTACACTTCCAGTCCTTCTCAGCCTTCCTGCCTACACTTCCAGTCCTTCTCAGCCTTCCTGGCTACGCTTCCAGTCCTTCCCCAGCCCGGATCATGTTTAACCTTCCCCACAATGGCCACTGATCTACTTTCACAACTTCACCGGCTCCCCGCCTGCTATCGCTGTCGGCCTCAATGCATCGCTCGAGCCCGCAACTTCTCTCCGTGGTCTTGCCCCACCCAAAAATGTCGCTTCTCTCATCTCTCGACTGCTCTGTCCCATTCACGTCCTTTGAGGCCGTCCATAAATGACGTCACGCGATTTTTTACGATTTTTGACTCCCCCCCCCCCCCCTTCGTCACACGGCGTCACAAAAAGTCAGGCCCCGCCTCAAATATGACGTCACAACGCTCTGCCCCGCCCCCATCAACAAAAAACTTGCTTCAAATCGCTTTAAACTATAGTCATTGTAGTGCGTATTTAATGTGGCGCTGCACTCTGATGTTGTAAGAGAAACATGTATTCAAAAGTCTATTTAATTAAGTAGAACGTGTCGTCTATATTTATTTAAAGTTGCGAATTTTGATGTGACGTCACATTTCTAACCCCCCCCCCCCTCTCGTCACACATCGTCACAAATGTCTGACCCCGTCCCCCCCGAGGTGCGTGACGTCATTTATGGACGGCCCCTTTACGTTCCCAGTCTCTGCTGTCCCTCCCTGTGCCTCTCTCGCCCTGCTGCGCCCAGTCTCGCTCTCTCGCTCATTCTCCCTTCGTGTTTACATTTCACTGCAGTCGCCTCTCCCTGCACTTGACACAACCCCGAGGCCATCATCATCCTGCTACTGCTGTTACTCCCTGCCCGGTCCCCCAGCTGCGACCAGGCCTACCCCTACCCCCATCACTACCCCTACCCCCATCACTACCACTACCCCTACCCCCATCACTACCACTACCCCCATCACTACCCCTATCACTACCCCTATCACTACCCCTATCACTACCCCATCACTACCCCTATCACTACCCCCACCACTACCCCTATCACTACCCCAACCCTTATCACTTCCCCAACCCCTATCACTACCCCTATCACTACCCCAACCCCTATCACAACCCCTACCCATATCACTACCCCAACCCCTATCATTAACTCTTAACCGCTCCCACCTGTCCTCGCCAAAAGCTACACCACCACTTTCAACACCCCCCCCCCGCCACCACTCCTTATTATCAACAACTACACGATTATCTAAACGAACACGTGTTGTAATCGCTATAGAAACCTACGCCGACGCGAGACGCGAAATCTCGTGGCGCGGCCAGGAGCTACGTCCCTCTCTTCCCTCGCTCGCACCCCGGAGGCGCCCTCTCGAGCAGCACGCGGTGCGCGCCCTCGACGGAAGGCGGCGGCAGCAGCCCCTCCGAACTCGCGGCGGAGGAGCCGCCGCCGCCGCCGCCGTCGAAGCTGACGAGCGGGATCATCGCGGCGACGTCCTTCGGCGGGCACGGGCCGTCATCCGTCGTGCCCTCCACCGCCTCGTCGTCGGCGGCGGCGGCGGCGTCGCGAGCGGCGGCGGCGGCGGCGCTGCCGCGGAGACCCGCGCCGTCGCCCGGCGGATGGGACCCGCCCCCGGGCCTCGCCTCGGTGATGCTCCACACGCGCTGGGAGTTCCTTCGCGCGCCGCGGTGGGGCACAGGGGGCGCGCTCTCGCTGGACGTGCTCGGGCGCCGCGCCTCCAGGCAGGAGCAGGGCGTGGAGCGCAGCTCCGCGCGGAAGGAGCGGCTGAAGAGGTAGTAGATGAGGGGGTTGTAGACCGTGGAGGATTTGGCGAACAGGCAGGGCAGCAGCGACACCAGCGGGGAGATGGAGCCCGGGCTGCGGAATAGCCACCACAGGCTGACGATCGCGTACGGAGACCAACAGCCGATGAAGCCCACAGTCACCAGCACCGCCATCTGGAAGAAATCGTGGGCACAGCTCACGTTAATGCGCAATGGTGGGGCGTCTGCAGTGTTCGTGGTCACGCAGAGATCAGCTGTCGCAGGTGGCTGTGAATCACAGGCAGCGGCTGTCCCTTCAGGGAGAACAGCGGCGCCAAATGGTTGAGACATCCCGTGACAAGCGTCTGATTTATTTTTTTGTTTTCATTCAATAATTTCACCTGAATAATCCCCTGGAGGTGGGAACGTCTCGCTCTGCTACGGTGCCCCCGGCGTCAAGCGACTCACACACGCGCCTAGCAAGCTCACAATCGCGCCGATACAAACGTCTACAACGTATACATTTTACGGGTATACAATGTAAGATACATTTTTTATAATTGGTGCCTTGCACATCATACAATCTGTAAGGTCTGCCTTGGCTGCATGCATACAATGTATGTGATATTGTGTTGCTATAATTCCAGGTACATTGTATAAATACTGCCTTGTACATCGCATTAAGGCTTCGACTGCCACTCCCAACCTGCACCGCAGCCTCATCAATCGGCCCTCGCCCAGTCACGCTGTGCCCAGCCCAGGCGCGCCCTTGCTGTCCCAAAGTCGCAAAGAGCGACGTCTGATTTGGGTTTGTTCCCCCCGTTTCACGCGACCATCCCCGCCCCCCTCTCTCTCTCTCGCTGGCTCTCGGTGGAATTCCCAACACGCCACCGCCGCACGCTTCGGCTTCATTGTTCAATTGTCTTTGTCAGCGTTTCCTTATCCGGCACGGTCACCCACGTTTGTCTCGAGTAGCCACCGTTGGCTACGCACGGTGCGAAAGAAATTCATCTTACATACGTTAGATTTTTTTTTAGGGCGGAGATCACACGAATCGAAGCACAAACATCTCTCCGCGTGTATTCCTGGGAGAGGGGGTGGGGGATATGCACTACTGCGCGCTACAAACTCCTTCTTCGGGAGGACACGCGTGTTAGTATTTATTTTGGTTCTTACAACAAGTCACCGGGCGAGAGAACACTTTGACAGGCTTCAGAACGCGAGGCTCACGCCGCTTGACGTTGACGCTCGCAGAACCCGACGTCGCTGTTACGTCAGAGAGAAAAAAACGAACGCGGCCACCACGTGAAGCCGGCGACGGTCTGGTGACGGTCGCGGGCACGTGGCACGCGAGATGCCCACGGCACCCCCACCCACCCACACCCCCTCCTCCACCACCCCCTTCCCCCCACCCCCTCCTCCATCGCCCCCCCCCCATCACCATACATACACCCCTTTCCCCAGTCATCATATTCAGCCCTTTTTTCAATCCAGTGCACGCGATGTAAGTCATGGGGGTTGTTTGACCATGCTTTACCACGCCGCTCACCGCGGGTTGGTGAGGACGCAGAGCCACAGACGTGGCAGCATTTTCTTGAATAAACACATTTTGTTTGTTATTATCTGCAGATAAAATGTATCTTCAGTGCTCGCACGCAGATCGATGGCGTCGTTCAAGTAACCGATGTTTTAATTGCAAACATTTTCCTTGCGGCGTTGAGTTAGTGGCTTTAGGTGATTTAAATTCAATAATAATAATAATACCAGCCTGGTTGGACAATGGAACAAACAGTGTCCCGGATTGAGTAGGGGGACCATTGATGAGATTTTTTTAAGTTTTAATTTAGTTTTATTATTTTCTATAGTATATGTATTCTTTGTCTCTTAACTGCGATTCTTAAATATGTTTTTTTAATATATATTAGTTTAGAAACACTCAGTCTGTGCTCTCCAATTGCCTGGGTGAAACGTTGGGGCTCGGTTTTGCCCAATCCTGGCCAGCAAGTTCCACAAACTTCATCATCTGATTTTTTTTTTCCTCTCAGAATCAGACAACTTATTTATATTGGAGGAATCCGATGAATTACGAAGCTTCGTATCACAGATGCCCGGTAGTTTTACAGATCTCCAGTAACTCATTACACTGAGAGCGTACAAGTGCAGTCCGTCACAATGGATTTTGCTGGCCTGTTCCCTTGCTGCTCGTCATGCAGCGGCCGCACGCAAGCCCCCTTGCGACCTGTTCCTGCACGGTGGTCGCCCATCCACGCACTACCCAGGCTCAACACCTGCTGAGCTTCCCAGATCTGAAAGGAGTTGCAAAACAAAATGATGCCCATTGTGACGGACGTAGCTCCGCACGTCTCTTTGTGTACGGCTTCAAAACACGAAACGTGATAGTGGCAAGAGAGGGCCAATGTGGGCCCTCACCCTTCCCGTCCCCCCTCCCTATTAATATTTACCATAGAAAATACGTTTAATGTTATTCATTAATGTAGGGCCCTACATTATTTAAATAATTAGACGTTTCGGGGTGGTCCCCCTCCACCCCCCCCTCCCCCTCCTTTGCCTGTGAACAAATAAAGTAATAATGACATCAAACAAAACACTGCACACAACAGTGGGGAGGCCAGGAACAGCTCAGATATTCGTCGGTGTTGCTGGCTTGTTCCACAAAAATGTATTTCATTCCACTACCCCTGGGATGGATTTCATTCCACTATCCATGACAAGGATTTCATTCCACTACCCCTGGGATGGATTTCATTCCACTACCCCTGGGATGGATTTCATTCCACTATCCATGACAAGGATTTCATTCCACTACCCCTGGGATGGATTTCATTCCACTACCCCTGGGATGGATTTCATTCCACTATCCATGACAAGGATTTCATTCCACTACCCCTGGGATGGAATTCATTCCAATACCCCTGGGATGGATTTCATTCCACTACCCCTGGGATGGAATTCATTCCAATACCCCTGAGATGGATTTCATTCCACTACCCCTGGGATGGATTTCATTCCACTACCCCTGGGATGGAATTCATTCCACTACCACTGGCATGGAATTCATTCCAATACCCCTGGGATGAAATTCATTCCATTGCCCCTGGGATGGAATTCATTCCACTACCCCTGGGATGGAATTCATTCCAATACCCATGACAAGGATTTCATTCCACTACCCATGACAAGGAATTAATTCCACTACCCCTGGGATGGATTTCATTCCACTTCCCCCGGGGAAGGGGCAGGGGGCGAGCCACCTTGGTGAGGCGGCTCTCGACGTGCCGAGCGGTGGGCGTGCGCCGCTTGCTGCGCCCTTCTCGGTACGCGCGCCGCAGCTTGCACACGATGCCCGCGTAGCACAGGCCGATGGCGATCGCCGGCAACAGCAGGCACAGCACGAACATGGCGTACAGGAAGGCCACGCCGCCCGGCGTCAGCTGCAGCTCGGCCCAGGCCAGCGTGCAGGACACGCCGAACGGCTCCACGCCGTACCTGCTCGGCACACGCGCACAGATCACCATCCGCGCGGGCCCTGAGTGGACGGTTCACGCGTGTACGTGTGTGTGTGTATGTTGAACTTCTTGGGAGACAAAGGTGGTCGGGCGTGGTGCTGGCCACCCACCCCCTCGTGTACCGTTCCGGCCTTCATAGGTGCTCGCTAACAGCACTTGCCCCTACAGTCTGTTAAGGCTGTACGGGGGATCTTTGTCTTTGTGTATGTTGAACTTCTTTCGCACCGTACGTAGCCAACCGTGCTAATCGGAGGTGCGGGGGAAGGACGGCGGGCGAAACACAAAAAGCCAGTTCGAACAAAATAAAAAAAATAGTTTTTCAATCTAGATGATGATTTAAAAGTGCATAGCTCGAGTGGATTCCGATTATCGGGAAGGTAGAGCATTGAGGACGGCCGCAGAAGCGCATCTGAAAGTGCGCGCGATGCGGTGACCGCCGTCTTTGTTCAATGGTCAGCCAAAAGCTTCTGCTGCTGCTGCTTCCTTTTATTCACAGCCACATGTTGGGCTCGGCTGCTCAGATGCTCCGTTGCTCTTTCTCCTGGCCAAGGCGAAGGGCCGCAGTGAGTGATACTGCACCGGTTCTGCCCCTTCCACCGCTTGGCCAACTTGTAATTGATCAGCGCGGTGAAGTCTGGCAAAAACCACCCCCCCCCCGTGGCTGACGTGACGTGGGGGAGCCATTGAATCCCACAGGTGAATTGTCAGTGACTGATGATGATTGCGATGGTGACGTTTAACAGAGCTCATTTGAATTCAGTGGGAATAAAATGCGTGCGAATTTGTATTTGCGATGCAGTGATGGGAAACCAGGATGTAACTCATGGGGACCTCGATAACCACAGTGCAGATGATGATCATGACTGATGATGATGATATGTAGATGATGAGACCAGTTGGCCGTTTCAGTGGTTACTGCACTCCGCTATCAACCCAGTCACCTGAGTTCAGATTCCCGGCCGTGGCTAACGGCCGTGGATTACGAGCAAATACCTTCGCCGATTCTGCCACTACTGCCCACAAACTTAACCAACTCACTTGGAGAGGTTAAATATGGTCAAACGACCCCCAATTGACCGACGCGGCGTGGGGAGGCCTTCGCCCACACAGCAGTGGGTTGCAAAGCGCTCTGGTGCGCATCGATGTCATAAAAAACGAAACTATAAAACTATTTATTTTATTTTACCAGGTAAGGCCCACTGAGCGTAAAGCTCTTTTTCAGAAGCGACCTGGCCACAAATGATAGCTCAACGAAGTGGGCTTATTACGTGGAAATCTAGAGCAGATACATTCTCTAAACGCGTGACGTTTCTTCTAAATGTGGAGGAAATAAACGAAGGAGCCGGAGGAAAAAAAAACTCCAAATATACAGCAGCAGGCGTCAGGGTCGCGATCAGAACCCACGACCCCCTGTACACCGGGCGAGGGAGTTAACATCTCGCCAGCGTGGCACTGTGAATGTGGCCCAAAGGGCTGTTTGTGCTATAGAGGTGGGGGATCTTTGTCTTTGGAGGAGGTAGAGACGAGAGGGCACCTGCCCCATCCCAGGAGAGGGAGGCAGGACCAGAGCAGCGCGTAGGCCCACACCGCCACGATCACCGCCAGCATCGCTCGCTTGGTGATTTGCTTCACTGCGGACGAGAAACATCGATCGAGGTTAACGACAAACCTCCGATCGGCACGGTTGGCCACGCACGGTGCGAAATAAATTCAACGTACACACACACACGCAACAATAATGATTATTATGTAAACACTTACGGGTGCACACACGCCCCCCCCCCCACGTCCCCCGCGACCTTGTTACGAAACAAAGTTGTTGAAAGATAACAATCGGTAAAACCTGCAATTGTGTTCTGAAATTATTACCCAAGCTTCGCCCATTCTACGTTTCATTTTAAGGCCTCGGTATTATTGATGAATGCGTTGTGGGGGGGTTTTTTCCCGGTTCACAGCACTTTGTGCACCACTGCCAACGCAGCAGTTAGCAGCATCACACAATCGTTTATTTCATTGTAACAGCATCTTAGACGTGTGTGTGTGTCACTGTGTGTGTGTCACTACAATGAGGGAAAACAAGTATTTGATCCCCTGCTGATTTTGCACGTTTGCCCACTGACAAAGAAATGATCAGTCTATAATTTTAATGGTAGGTTTATTTGAACAGTGAGAGACAGAATAACAACAACAAAATCCAGAAAAACGCTTGTCAAAAATGTTATAAATTGATTTGCATTTTAATGAGGGAAATAAGTATTTGACTTCTCTGCAAAACATGACTTAGTACTTGGTGGCAAAACCCTTGTTGGCAATCACAGAGGTCAGACGTTTCTTGTAGTTGGCCACCAGGCTTGCACACATCTCAGGAGGGATTTTGTCCCACTCCTCTACACTATGTGTGTGTCACTGTGTGTGTGTGTCACTGTGTGTGTGTCGACTCAGCCTCAAATGAGTACCTGGTGCGGTGTGTAAACATTGCCACTAGGGAGACAAAGGCGGTCGGGCGTGGTGCTGGCCACCCACCCCCTCGTGTACCGTTCCGGCCTTCATTGGTGCTCGCTAACAGCACTTGCCCCTACAGTCTGTTAAGGCTATATGGGGGATCTTTGTCTTTGTTTTGTGTCACTGTGTGCGTGTGTCACTGTGTGTGTCACTGTGTGTGTGGAAGCTACCTGGTCTGTCGCTCCGCGCTAAGCTTCAGGTCTTCTCGGCCATGGTCATTCCCTCCCTTCTCTACGCTTGCGAAAACGTGGACCCCCTTAATGGAACATCTTCGCCGGTTAGAAACATTTAGGCTAGCCTGCCTACGATCCATCCTGGGTTTAACCAGGCTGGATTGTGTGAGGAGCTCACAAATCCTTGAAAGATCTGGCCAAGGTCCCCTCGGTGAGCTCCTCCGGCAGGCAAGGCTGCGTTGGCTGGGTCATGTAGCCCGCATGCCCAGCCACCGCATGCCGAAACAGCTTTTGTTCGGCCGGATCGAGGGGGCTAAACGGGCGCGGCACGGGCTAGAGAAGAGATGGAGTGATGTGGTACAGGAGGACGTGGAGCTGAGTGGACTTGCCGATAACTGGTACCAGCGGTGTCAAGATCGGCCTCTGTGGAGGAGGCTCGTGAAGGACGCTACTGGGCAGTTGGAGGCAGTCGCCCTCCAACAACAATGGAGGGCGGAGGAGCGACGCTCACAACAACGAGCGGAGCGCCGGGTGACTAAAGCACAGCAGGTTGGCACAGTAGGGGGCACAGGTGGTGCATCAGCCAGGCATCTCAGTCAGTCGACCCGTGGCACCTGGGTCTGCCCCGTGACCTCCTGCCAGCGGGCGTTCAACACTTCTCGTGGCCTCAAGGTCTGTCACAAGCGTCGTGGTGACGTCACCGCCACTTAGTGGCGAATGGCGGTTGTATCCCCAAATTGTGTGTCACTGCGTGTGTCACTGTGTGCGTGTGTCACTGAGTGTGTGTGTCACTGTGGGGAGCGGTAGTGTAGCGGTTAGCGCGCTGCGCTATGAACCTGGCGACCCGGGTTCGATTCCCGCTCACGGCCAACACCAGTGACGATGATCTGAACCGGTCCCGGGCCTCCCCTAGGTCGACTCAGCCTCAAATGAGTACCTGGTGTGGTGTGTAAACATTGCCACTGGGGAGACAAAGGCGGTCGGGCGTGGTGCTGGCCACCCACCCCTTCGTGTACCGTTCCGGCCTTCATACGTGCTCGCTAACAGCACTTGCCCCTACAGTCTGTTAAGGCTATATGGGGGATCTTTGTCTTTGTTTCGTATCACTGTGTGTGTCACTGTGTGTGTCACTGTGTGTGTCACTGTGTGTGTCACTGTGTGTGTCACTGTGTGTATTGACTTGGGGAGCGCTAGTGTAGCGGTTAACGCTATGCTGCGCTACGAACCTGGCGATCCGGGTTCGATTACCGCTCACGGAAGACACCAGTGACGATTATTTGAACCGGTCCTGAGCCTCTCCTAGGTCGACTCAGCCTCAAATGAGTATCTGGTTGTCATGTGTAAACATCGTCCCACTCGGGAGACAAAGGCGGCCAGGCGTGGTGCCGGCCACCCACCCCGTCGTCTGCCGTGCCGATCTGCGTAGGTGCTCATGAACAGCACTTGCCCCAACAGTCTGTAAAGGCTACACGGGGGATCTTTGTTTTTGATGTTTGGTTGTCCACCAAAGGTTAAGGGGCCGTTCATAAATGACGTCACGCGATTTTGGACGATTTTTGAACCCCCCCCCCCTTCATCACACGACGTCACAAAAAGTCAGACCACCCCCTCAAATATGACGTCACAAAGCTCTGCCCCCCCCCCCCAAAAAAAAACACGCTTCAAATCGCTTTAAACTATTGTCATTGTAGTGCATATTTAATGTGGCGCTGCACTCTGATGTTGTAGGAGAAAACATTTATTAAAAAGCCTATTTAATTAAGTAGAACGTGTTGTCTATATTTATTTAAAGTTTGCGCATTTTGATGTGACGTCACATTTCTCAACCCCCCCCTCCCTCGTCACACATCGTCACAAATGTCTGACCCCCCCCCCCCCAGGTGCGTGACATCATTTATGGACGGCCCATAATTTGACCTCGGACAGCACACGGACATGTGTTGTCATTGTCAGTTTCAAACGTAGCCTTTCGCGACCAATATTATTCATTATTAAGTGGGGGGCTTTTGGGGGTTGTATGTAAGTTGAACTTCTTTCGCACCGTACGTAGCCAATCGTGCTAATCGGAGGTGCGTTATTGTTGTCATCCCACCGCCTCCCTCGCCTGCTAAGGCATTCGACCAACAACAGAATGTGTGTCCATAATAGAGGTTTATTTGGGTGAGATCGCGTCAATAGAAATGTGTCGTTAACCCGCCACCACCCGACACATCCAACCATTAAGGTTTGTCACGTAAACAAAGCAGCCCACCGGTGTGTTGGAGAGTAAATCCACAACATTTAGAATTTGAGTTACGACGTTTCGCCGGTAATTACATCCAGCATCATTATGTTATCGTTGTCATCATCGTTATCATTGTTGTCATCATTACGATCGCTCTCATCGGGTCTATGCGAGCAGGGGTGAGATGATGGCGTGAATATTAAATAAAGAGTCCGCAATTGGCGAGGATAATTTAAAAGGACACGTGGAGACAACCCTTTCTCAACCGGTTCCATTATACCCATCGCCCGGCTCCGTCAACTCTGGCTGGATTCAATCCATTCCCCGGCTGCCCTCCAGTCCACGATTTAACTCAAGCACTCGGCTTAGATCTATAAAGGCTGTTATTGGCCACAATATCCAAATGCTGAAAAAAATGACTCTGCAAATTACTCAATTGGGATCACACGCAGTAGCAGCAGCAGCAGCAGGGGCTACATCACGTGCCTTACTGCAAAAAACGTATCATGACACCTCCTGAACGAGAGTCTTGAGACTCGGTGAGGCTTTCCTGGGTGAACAAAAGCGACGTAATAAGTAAAAAAAAAATTCCTTCAAATTACACCCAGTAAACATGTAACGTTGAGCCAACGTTGGCCTGTTTACCGGCTTCAGAGGCAATTGTGTAACACCACTTATGTGTGTGTGCATGTGCTCTTGTGGAAAATGTTCAAAGGTGAATATCTCTTCAAATCAGTGAACAGGTTCTGTCGAATCAGGGGAGCAGCGGTGAAAATCCATAGTGCCGATCCATGTGAAACGACATTCGCTTCAAGAAAATTGGTGAACCATTGGACAGCCAATTTTAGTTGTCAGTTTATGGGACATTTTCTTTGGGACAAAAAAAATCAATTTAATATATATTTATATATATAAAATAAATATTCTCGGTTGAGTTTTCGGTCACAACAATATTCTTTCAATATCTTTCTTTTTCCCAAAAAAATGCTTTTCAATAAACTGTTTGTGAATTTACAGACTGATCTTTCGCATTCATGAATTAAATATTTACACAATCGTATACTGGTGGCATTACAGCACTTATGTGGCTTGCGTCTTTAATCTCCCATGCATGAAGGAGATATGAATATCGGCTTGACTTAAAGCCGATAAAGTCACGTAGTTAGGTTGTTCTTTACGCTTTACGCACATTTACAAACTTGCGCTTTCACAGGGTCCACACGAGCCACATCGCGCCCCGACCCGTGCGTTGCGGCTCTGCGATCTCCCATCAACATGCTAATCTCTCATTAACATGCTGATCTCCCAACAACATGCTAATCTCTCATTAACATGCTGATCTCCCAACAACATGCTAATCTCTCATTAACATGCTGATCTCCCAACAACATGCTGAACTCTCATCAATATGCCAATCTCGCATTAACATGATAATCTCTCATCAACATGCTAATCTCTCATTAACATGCTGATCTCCCAACAACATGCTGATCTTTCATCAATATGCCAATCTCGCATTAACATGATAATCTCTCATCAACATGCCAATCTCGCATTAACATGCTGATCTCTCATTAACATGCTAATCTCCCAACAACATGCTAATCTCTCATTAACATGCTGATCTCCCAACAACATGCTAATCTCTCATCAATATGCCAATCTCGCATTAACATGATAATCTCTCATTAACATGCTAATCTCCCAACAACATGCTAATCTCTCATTAACA